ATTCTGCTATTTATTTATTTATTGTTTTTATATTTGTATTTATTTACATTATATTGTCATCATTATTGATTATTTTTTATCTTTTATTTCCATCACCCATTTAAATGTATCTTTTTAAACATCAATTCTTTCATTACTGTTAATATTGCTCTTTCTGATCATTAGTTAGAATTACTTTATTTCTTCCTCTCGTCCCACAATTTCAATTTTTAGTTTATTTATTTATTTTTATTCTTACACCTTTTATTTCATTAGCATTTATTATGATTAATTAGTGTTTTTCATTTAATTTTTTTTTTTATATTTATTTATTTACTTTAACTCCACGTAACACCCTGTCTTCTTCACGCCCTTACTCAGCCTACTAGTTAGGGGGACAGCAGTAATTAACAGTCACTTGTATTTAATAAATAAAGACATTCGTCATCACTTCCCTGGGCGTCCACTCGCTGTGTTTCAATCAGAGGACCTGATTGAAGACTTGACAGCGGCAGGGACAATCTGTTCCTGCCGGCACACCCCGTGTTTTCCTGACCTCCACAACCTCTCCGAGTCTCTTCCTGTCACCCAGTCAGAGCTGCCACGGCGGATCTGAGGAGGGGCGTGAACAGGCCGCCACGTCACTCTGCCATTGTCGGAGCTGTTGGCACCTCAGTGCAACACACACACACACACACACACACACACACACACACACACACACACACACACACACACACACACACACACCTGCATGTTAGTGTTTTGACAATAAGAGCGACGAGTGATGGTCCTGTCCTGTAGAGTTGTGCGTCTATACTGAGTGTGTGAAGCCCTCTAATTTCATCTAGCGCCTCTTTCCACAGCTGGAAGCAGGCGTTTTTAGAAGGATTAATAAGTACTCACCTCGTCTCACCTCGTCTCACAGGTGGACGATGGCACCGCCTCAGAGGACAGGTTCCAGCAGCAGTCTTTGTTCTGCTTTGGTGAACTCATCATTCAGGTTCATCATGTGCTGCAGGCTGAGGACATTAAGAACGCTGGTTTGGTGTTTGAAGCTGCTTGGTTTTAGTCTTCTTAGGCATCAACTAAAACAGACTTGATTCATTGCTGAAGCTGCCATATTTGTGCTACAACTACTATTCCCATTCCCAGCCAGAGGTGGCTAAAATTAGAGACTTTCTTTATTTAAATAGAAGTACAGATACCTGTGTTAAAAAATACTCAAGCAAATATTTTTATTCGAGTAAAGGTGAAAAAGTACAGGCTCTGAAATCTCCTCAAAGTAAGAAAGTAAAAAGTAGTCGAATAACTTTTTGTTAAGTTAACTGAACCTTGTGCTGTATTAATATAATAATAAAGTAATATTAATAAATGAGGATAAAAATGTTTCAAATTTAAATTCCAACTCTAATGAGTGTACTCGGTTTGACCTGTTATGTAGGACATAAGCAGCGAAAGTGAATTAAAAAAAAAACTATTTTCTGCTGCCTATATTGTAGAGGGTGACCTTACCTCCACACATAAAAGGTAAATAGCGTTCAGTCAGGGGTTACAGTGGGATTCATCAGGTGGATGAAATACAGGCTCAGCTCAGGGAAAAGAATCATAACTCACAATAATTTCTAACATGAGCTCCAGTAGGTTTTCTTAGTGCACATGATGTCAGCTGACCGCTCTTTGTAGAAAAGATCAGATTTGAACACCATCAGGTTGGTTTTCTTGGAGCTGGACATTATCACACTTGGACAAGACGATTGAACACAGAGTTATCCAAGGAAGCCACATCCTTCACGTAAATGAGAAGATCATGCAAGTACACATATATGCTAATCGGTCCTAAGTAAGAAAGAGTTTCAGTAAAGCTATCAATAGAGGCCAAAACAAATGTTCACATTGGGCTGTAAAAATTGTTTACTAACGAACCCCAGGTGGTGATTAGTGGAACTGCAACTTCTGTCAGCTTCTTTTAATTTTTCATCCCCAGAGGCTGATGCTTGATCTAAACCTGTGGTCCTCAAACTCAAAGCCAAAAACGTTCACTCCCACCAGCCCACAGTTTTCATCATGATCAATAAAATTATCATTAAAAATTAAAAAAGGATCCAATTTTAGTTTTATTGACGTAAAAGCCACATTTTGAGAACCATTACTACTCGTGCTGCTGCTCCGCCTGCGGTCTCATCCTTTTCTAACAGACCTGCTTCGCCCTCTGGTGGCCAGCAGCAGAAACTACACCAGATCTGCTCACAGCCTTCAGTAAATATCACAGCGTGTTTCACTTACAGCTTCTGATGCAAATAATGAATACAGTGTAAAGAAATTATGGCTGTAAAACCGTTTGAAAGCAATTTACCAAAAGAAGAGAGAATCATGAAAAATGAGCACAGCAGCTCGGGAAAAATACTGATAATCAAACTAAATTGGTTAGTGAAATAAAGAGCGACTTTAATGTTCCTCTCTGCAGCAGCAGGGGAAGAATATAAAGCTAATCCTCCTCCTCGGGGATTATCTTCATCTTCCACTGTCAGGGTTTCTGTCTTACTGTAATCCTCCGGCTCCATGATAGTCTGACAGCTGTTAACACAGACACCCAATCAGCTGGACACATTTGTGAGACAAGGAGGAAGTAAAAGTAAATTCAATATAGGTGAAAGGAGTGTTGGTACTGGTAGTACTGTGTACTGGGAACAGAGGAAGTACTGATAGCAGAATTAGATATAGAGGAGATTTAACAGTGATCACAGACGTAGTCATTGTTGTATTTTCGTAAATATATGAATGAAAAAAAGTGTATTTGTTGATTTTATTGTATTCATTATGAACAATAATACCTGGAATATTTAAATAAGATCATCAAGTAAGATTCTTGGTAAAGATTCTGGGTTTTTATTCAGAAGGAAACAAACGGGAGTAAAGTTTTACAGAGATTTTTGATGTGATCGTTTCTGGACTCTGAAGTTTGAGGGCACTTTGAGGAACGGTGCCGCTGTTTTACACAGATCTGATTGGTCACTAGGTGGTGGATTGGTACATGATTATGTCTCATTTGGAACATAATCTGCTCCGCTGCTTAAAACGTGATCCACCTTGATAACATCGAGAACAGACGATCATCTCCGAAGTTTCAACCTCTGGTGAATCTATCAAGTTACATAAAACTTCTTAAAATCCACAAACTGTTGCTCTGTGCAGATTAAAAGCTAACAAGATAGAGGTTAATGCACACCACATCAAACTCTGTTTGGCTTTTAAATGAAAATAAAACCAGCTCTTTTCCTGCTCCACCTGAGTCTCAGTCCTCAGGACATCATGGGAGTCCTGAGGGAGTTATCGCTCATACCAAAACACACTGATGCTCCTTCGTCCTTGTCTCATTGACCTGAATTACTGTTTTCAGAGAGAAACCTGAGCTCAAATTGTATTGTTTTTGTTCACTGGGTTAAATCACTCTCTGCGTCATTGGGTCTGCTGGGTTTGGGGCTGATAGTTTGCACTGCTCTTTGTAGAGTTCTGGTTATTATTGAAGTGAACTTGCTGAGTCGTTGTATATAAATTATAGTGAACTGTTAATAAAGTGGAATGGAAAAGTATTTCCCCCTTTTCTCATTTCTTAGTTTAGTTGGTTTTTTTTTTTGCATATTTATCAAGCGTGCATATTTCAACCCATCAACATATGTTATTATTAGACAAAGAAACCCCCAAGCCAAAAAATAGCTTGTCTCACAAAGTAAAGCAGGATAAAAGATCTCAAACACCAACACATCAGGCCACGAACTAAAGAAACAGCTAAGAAACAAAGTCAGTGACATGTATCAGTCTGGAAAAGGTTACAAAGCCATTTCTAAGGCTCAGGAACTTCAGTGAACCACAGTGAGAGACATTATCCACACAAAGAAGAAACCTGGAACAGTGGTGAAGCTATGGACTAAAATTACTCCAAGAGCTTCGATGGCTCATCAAGGAGGTCACAAAACAAAATGTAAAGGACTGCAGGCCTCCCTTGCCTCAGTTAAGGTCAAAGTTCATGATTCAACAATAAGACAGAGACTGGGGAAAATAGTCTCCATGGGAGAGTTCAAGGAGAAAACCACTGCTGACCAAAAAGATCACAAAGGCTGGTGTCATATTTACCAAGAACACCTAATCAACCCAGAGAAAATGTTCTGTGGACTGACTGCTTCAGGACGACTTGCTGTAACTGATGGAACCATGAATTCTGTTCTCTACCAGAAAATCCTGAAGGAGGATGTGCGACCATCAGTTCATGCTCTGAAGCTCAGGAGCACTTGGGTTCTGCAGCAGAACAACGATCAGAAACACACCAGCGAGTCGACCTCTGACTCGCTCCAAAAAAACAAAATGAAGGTTTTGGAGTGGCTGAGTCAAAGTCTGGAGTTAAACCAGATTGAGAAGCTTTGACGTGACCTTAAACAGGCTGTTCATGCTGGAAAATCATCCAGTGTGTCTGAATTAAAGCAAATCCGCAAAGAGTGTCTTTGCAATTTCCTCTGCATCCAGTTTTTAAAAAAGACGCAGACACTGATCATGAAAGCACACAAATCACCCTTTCTTGTGATGGAACATCTGATCTCGAAATCTCGAAAACAGATTTGTTATATATTGATTTAGTTTTGAGTTTTTTGCTTTTCGGTTTATTTTCAGTTGTTTTCTTTTCATTTGGTATATGGTCAGTATGTGGATGCACCGACGCCTCCTCAGGGTGGTTATAATGATAAATACTACAACTGAAGACATATTTTTTCCATTTTTTCTTTGATGATCCAATTTTTTTCCACACTTAAATGCAGCTGTGTGTACGAACCCTGCTGTAAACATGCAGGAACATCGGGGAGATAAACACAGCGGCGCCTGCGGTCAATCAAATCTGTCCAGACCTCCTAATTCTCTGCTCTGTGGCCCAGTTTGGCTTCAATCTCTTAAAGCTCCCATCTCCTCACCCACACCACACCACACACCAACAGCACACCAACAGCGCTGCGTGGTGAATAATTGACGAGTCCTGCCTCCTCTCCCTCCCTCTCTGTGTTTCTTTCCATCACTCTGTCTTTGTGTTGTCGCTCGCCGGGTTCTCCAGACCGTGAAGACCCGCCCCTCCCTCTGCTCCATCACGTCCACTCGCCACCTGCTGCTGGCTGGATGTTGACGACTGTCAGCAGGTAGACAGACGGACGGAGGGGCAGGCAGGAGCAGCAGCTGCTGGTAAGATGAAACCGTTCTGTTACGGTCAGACAACACAAACTTTTTGGAGGTTTTTATCTCACAGGCTGCATCTGCTCCTCATTCTTCTTATTTCTCATGTTCAGGTATAATTTTATTAGAGGACGACATAGTGAATGAGTCTGCTGAGCATTCGTTTCATTTAAAGGATGTTTTTACTGCCGTCGCCCTGATGGGGACCCTTTTTTAAAACTGTGAGAGTGCTCGAGTCATGTATGTGATTTTGCTTTCTCGCTGCACCCAGTTTTCTATACTCAGATGAACTTTATTCATTCCCAGATCTGTAATCAATAAACTCCTTTTTTTAATGAATAGATGATTATTAGTTTTTTGTTTTTATCAACAAAATCAGTTTTGGTGACACAGGAGAGCAGTGATGCTTCTCTGGTATTATAACATGCTGTTAAACCTCTCGGTGCTCTATTCTATAGGATTTATGTTCAAATTCTGTTGTTATTAAAATCTATCAGACTACTTTTGACATGACGTCTGAATTCACGTTTGTCCATTTCAGAGGAGTAGTGCAGAGATGCTGCAGCTTTTACTAAATTATGACGAATCAGTCCGGCCCCCTGATGGCTTTACAAAGTCTGACAGTTTGCACAAAAGGAGTTTTGTTTTTTTTTACTCTGTGTTTTGCACCTGCAGGCAGATGTTTGAATAGTTTTCAGTTCCACAGTCAGCAGCCTATTTCCTGGAAATCTTTCTTGGAAAACTCCCAAAATCCTTTAATCACAACTCTGATCATCACATCAGGCAAAGATGAAAAATATTTTTCCATGTTTTGTTTTTTTATGATAAATATTTTTGTCAGTTAGTTTAATTATGGTGATTCTCCATCAACAGCTTCACTTTAGCCTCCCGACGGCCACAGCTTGTCATGTCTTTGCATTTTGCTTCCAAGCAGCCAGACTTTGTTGTCATTTTTTAAAGTGGTCTTGATCAATAGTTCTCTGATAGTTTTTACAGTTTTATGTTGTACATTGGATGTTTTTTCATTCACTTTTACTTCAGTCCTTGTAACTGACCGTTATTGGAGGAATGTTTTTTTTATTTGTTTGTTAAAAACATAATTTTTTCCTATTTCTTTAATTGAATTTTGACAGAAGGTGATTCTCAGAGAGCTTTTAGCTGAAAACTTGCATGGTGTGCAGTCTGACCTTAAAAGATTTGAGGAAACTGCAAAAGTGGATAACAAAAGAACAAGTCTCAGTCTAAAGAAAACTATCTACAGTATCTGAAAGTCTTGTCCTTGAGACATACAAAACAACCTGAGAGATGCAGCTGGACCTTCATCTACTGTTCACTGAAGCCTCAGAAATGGTGTTAGTGGAAGGAAGCCATGCCTAAGGAAGGAAACAGGGAGAAAAAGCTGATATCTTGAACATCTTGTCAAAATGGAGAACCATGTCTGAAGACTAAATGAATCACTGCACCTATTTCTCATTCAAATACTGCAACACAAGTTCAGGAAAATAGTGAAAATATGTCAGAAAACCAAGAGATTCCTGTTATATCCAGTGGATTTGTTAAACTAGATTTTTTTTTAATATACTAACTTTTAATTACTTCCAAAGGTCCACGTGCAGTGCCTTTTTACCCACTAGGGGCAGAAGCTCACTTAAAAATTGTGTTTTTACTGCAAAATTTCACCAGAACTAATCAGCAACTTTTTAGTTATTTATTTTTTCTTTCATTATATTTTTAATTACAAAAAGTGTTGTAATATTAGGAAAAATAACATTGCAAAATAATATATAGCACTGCAACCAAAAAGCAAAAGTGAAAAAATATATTAATAATTAAATTAAATCAAAACTACTGAACATTTTAAAAGATAAAAACCTCTTAGGCTTCAGATGTCCAGTATGCATTATTAAATAATAAAAAAATAGCTTCAGTATAACTAAACCTTCTAAAATGTGTAATTACAGCATCTCTTTAACTCTGTAGAGCTGCAGCAGCTCTTATTTAAATGATCTCTGACGCAATGTGACAGATTAGCCCAGGCGCGACCCAATCTGGCTTTGCAGACTAATGAGAGTGGGGCATAACTCAGGGTTTTTTTTTTAAGTGAGTCTGCGTTTCAGTTTAGGTTTTACTGAGCATTACTTTCTGTATTAGTGAAGTTCTAACTGCGTGTAAAGTTGACCTTTTTCTTCTAGTGTCTCATACGCTTGATGCCTTTGTCCTCCAGTCCTCTTGTGTATGTCTTCATAGTTGATGCAACTCTTTTTGTCTCTGACTAGTTCCTGTTTTACTTTGAGGGTTAGAGTTTTTTGGAACCTGTGCTATATTTACTTCTTTTGTCTGAGTGATTCCTCAATCAGCCCTCGGTGTATAAATAGTCCTGTCCTCCTCTTTGTCGCCTGTAAATGTTCATGTTTTTTCCCCATGTGTTGCCTCGTGATCTCCTTTCCCCCATCGTTGTTACTCCTGCGCAACCTCTTTATGGCAAAGGTGGTCTGTCTATTTGGACAGTTAGTAAAGGGTTTTTGTTGTTTCTGTTAGAGTTGTCTGATTTGGTTTTAACACCCAGTGGTGTTTAAATGAATGTTCATTTAAACAGCCCTGGTTGAATGGCAGAGCTGTGATTGAATGTGGGGGGAAAATCTCAGATTTTTTAACATCTGTTTTGTAATGATGATTAGTTAAATCTGACTGCTGTTTTTTACAATAAAGGAATATTTTCCCTGACCCATTTCTGATCATAGATCAGATTGGAGGATATTTAAATGAGTTTGAATGAATTTAAATGAGAAAATCTAAAAATTCACCTTTAAAAAGTTTGCAGTGTCATCAAGGTACAGTGGCTCTCTCTCTTAGCCGTTTAGGCTGGATTTCTCATTTATCTCATCACAGATAGTACTGCATATGTCTTTATGAAAATTTTAAATTCTCAGTGCTGTAAAGAAGTCCTGCTGAAAGCTGTCATTTGTAGATTAGTGGATTTATGCTTTGAAGTCGAGCTCCCACACAGGGTCACAAGATTAGTTTAGAGCTCCTGTGATGAAAAAAAAAGGATTATTTTTTTCCCACAGTTGTTTTAGTCAGCATTTACAACTTTTATAAAAACAAAGAAGATTCAGGTCTAACTCACTGTACATTCAAGAACAAATGAAGGCAACAGCATTTATAGGTAGAGATCTCCAGCTATCTGTTTGTTTGGTTGTTTTTCTCAGTTATAAAAATGTCGATTCGTCAGAAACACAGAAATATACAGCTGTAGTCAGAAATTTACATCTGCTCCTTATGGGCAAGAATGTAACTGTAATTTTGGTATTATAATGATTTCTTTGAACTGTCTTTTTCAGGCGGGGAATGATTGTACAGGATACATTTTTAATAACTTTAAAAAACAAGAATTGGCTGCACAAGTTTGAATTTATATTGGATTTCCTCTAATCCACACAGGCTCAAATATGTACATACACTCACCTAAAGCTTTATGGTCAGACGAGACAAAGATTGAGCTATTTAGGCCAGCGGTCCCCAACCTTTTTTGCACCACGGACCAGTATAATGTCAGACAGTATTTTCACGGACCGGCCTTTAAGGTGTTGCGGATAAATACAACAAAATAAAATGATACGACCAAGACAAAAACTGTGGTATTTTGTACATTTAATAATAAACACGAATTCACTGTGTAATTGTGTAACTTTATTAGCAGTGCTGACAACACTGAGAGTAACCTCCTCCTCTCTGCCCCTTAATGCTCTCTGGTCGCTATGGTAATGCCTAATTTCTTTCAAAATAAGCCACACAACTACAACACTGGAAAAGACCCAGGGAAACCGAGTTAACGATAAAAACCCTAAAAACCATAAATTTCACATCTCAACTCTCACGGTCCAGTACCAAACGACCGGTACCGGTCCGTGGCCCGGGGCTGAGGACCGCTGATGTAGGCCACATTGACCACAAGTATGTTTGGAGGAGTAAAGGTGAGACTTTCAAACCTAGGAACACTATACCAGCTGTCAAGCATGGTGGTGATATCATCATGCTCTGGGGTTGTTTTGCTATCAGTGGTACTGGTACAATGTAAGCTGAACAAATTTCATGGAATAATATAATAATATAATAGAGGAGGACTAGCTCCAAATTCTTCAACTTCACCTCAAATCAACAGTCTGACAGTTAAAACTTGGACACAGTTGGGTGTTCCAACATGACTATGATACCAAACAAACATCAAAACTGGTTTTGGTATGGATAAAGCAGCCTCACATTAAACTTCTGGACTGGCCTTGCCAAAGCCAAAGCGGATGATGCATAAAAGCCAGGACCGTGACTGGAAACCAACCAATTTAAATGAACCCTACCAATTCTGCAAAGAAAAATAGTCAAAAGAGTTTAAAGGGTTACTCTTTGTTCAAAATGTAAAAAGTTGAAAACATAGTTGAAACATAATGCTTCATTTTTTTCCTCTTCTAATCACTACAATCACAAATCTTCACACTAAATCTATATATATTTCCTGCACAGTATGAGATTTGTGTATCCATGTCACAGTCCTGAAAGAGGTCACTGAGTGGTAAAATCCTTCCTTGTTGTTTCAGAGAGCCATCATGAAGCTGGTTTTGCTCCTCCTGCTGGTGACGGAGGCATCCTGCAGGTCTCACAGCTCTGGGTGTGAGAAGGGCTGTGACTGTCTTGGAGACCTCAAGTTCACCATATGCTCAAGGGCTTCCTTCACACGGCTCCCCAGCCGAGTGCCTCCCAACACTGAACGCCTCGACCTGTCTGACAACTGGATCTCCATCATCCCCGAACGCACCTTCAACACCACTCGCAAACTACGGGTACTCCTGCTGCAGAACAACAACATCAGCGTGGTGGAGGATGGGGCCTTCTCACAACTGGAGTTCCTCCAGAAGCTGGATCTGAGCTGGAACCAGATCACCACTCTCTCTGAGGGATTCTCCATTGGCCTAGCCTCACTGCAGGAGCTGCAGCTGTCCCACAACCGACTGACCACCCTGGGCAGCCGGACCTTCCGGCACCTGGACAGCATCCAGCGATTAAACCTGACCAACAACAGCATCCAGACCATTCAGATGAGGTCGTTCTCCTCAATGAGCCTCCTCCGACAGCTCCACCTGCAGGACAACCAGCTGACGTCTCTGAGGAGTGGCACTTTCTCCATGCTGCGCTCTCTCGAAGTCCTCAACCTGGCCGGAAACCAGATCAGTGAGGTGGAGACTGGTGTCTTCAAGCCACTTGCCAGCTTGACGTTACTCAACATTGCCAAGAACCAGCTGACCACCATCTGCTTCAAGACTTTCCTGAGCATCCACACCTACAGCACCCACCTCCTGCTGGAGGGGAACCCCTGGAACTGCGACTGTGACCTGCAGAGAGTTTTCCGGAAGCTGCACAGCATCCAGCGGCTCTTCCTGGATGACTACTACAACCTGACATGCAGTTCGCCACCTGACCTCCAGGGCTACCTTCTGATAAACGTGGATGATGAGCTGTGCATTGCTGAGACGGTCACTGTGCTCATCATAACCATCACCGTCATCATCACCCTGCTGGCTGCCATGCTGATGGGTGAGAGAAAGAGGAGGAGGAGGAAGAAGAAGGGATTCCACTGGACGCAGCAGGGAGACTTTCAGACGAGTCAGACTACTGAAGCAACTTCTGTTTCTGACTTAAATATATCACTCTTTCTTTTCTCGCACTGTAGTCTGATAGTATTTTCAACCAAGAGTGCTCATAGCTAGACTAGAAGTGGAGTTTAAAAAGTCCAGATAGAAGCCTCAGTGAGATTAAAAACCTGTTTTTCAAAAGTGACTTGGCCAAGAAGGCAGCAGAGATTGTATCCATCCATCCATTCATTGCATTCTACATATGTGAAGCTGGGTTGTGGTCACAACAAATCTGTTTTTAACTGAGGATTTCAGGGCATGAACTGATGGTCGGACATCCTCCTTCAGGATTTTCTGGTAGAGAGCAGAATTTGTGGTTCCATCAGTTACAGCAAGTCGTCCTGAGGCAACAAAGCAACTCCAGACCATCACACTACCACCACCATGTTTGACTGTTGCTATGATGTTGATTTTATGAAATGCTGTGTAGGTTTCTTTTGTTCTTTTTCTAACCCTTTCCAGACTGTTAGATGTCAGTGACTTTGATTGTCAGCTGTTTCTTTAGATCATGACATAATGTGTTTCTTTTTGAGAATATTGAAATCAGGTTCAATTTTATTTTCTTGATTCAACTGGTGTGGTCGTAATCAGGTCTGGGTGTAACTAGTGACATTGAGTAACCACATTTTTTTGGAAGGCTATATTCAGAGTCAACTTGGGTGTGTGTGTGTGTGTGGGGGGGGGGGGGGGGGGGGGGGGGGGTAGATGCTCATACTTGGGTTATCTTTGTCTATTATTTAAATGTATTTGATGATCTGAAACAAGTAATGTTCTTCCCCACGGTCTCCTCCCAGCTTTGGAGGGTTCCCTCCCAGAAAAACTCCCAAAACGCCCTTTAAAGCATGTCTGTTATGACTGAAGGGAAGGTTGCTGATTACACATGTATACACACAGATAAGAGGGAACCAGCTCAAGGATAGATTTATACAAAAACCAGCCAGCGGGTAAGCCTGCAGACACACAGAGAACAGAAGTGATTTCCACAACCATTTAGCAATATATATATAATAGATCATTGCATTAAAATGCTCCAAAAGGCACCAACAGCATAAGCACAATCAAAAGGTCCAGTTGACTGACAGCTATATGAGAGATAATCCATTACAGTCTATCTTTTCTGCAGCAGTTTCAAGAGCATGAAAGGCTAGACAAAATTGTCCTCAATCTCCTGTTGCTGGAGCTTTCACAGGACTTCACCAAACAAAGCCCATTTTTTCTACTACTGTTGTTGTTGTGGTAGTGGTTGTGGGTCACAAGGTAGAGTGGGCTAACAGCTAATCGTGAAGGTTGCCCGTTCCAAACACAGTTCCTGTAGTCTGCATGTTGAAGTAGATCGGGTAAGATGCTGAACTCTGAAGTGCACCTATTTGAAATAGAGTAGAAAGCACTATTTAAGTACCAGTCAATCAACCTTTCTTCAAAGAGGCATGTCCTTTGCCATTTGTTTGGACCGGTAGTCAAAGACTGCTTTCTAGTTAAGCACTCAAAGTGTTTTCTTACCACAAGCCTCATTCACCACACTACCCACACAGTCATACAGGTGCTTTTTTCTATGCCTAAGCACCTTGTCTAACATTTGCACACACACTCTCACTCCAATGGTTGCAGCTGCTGGCTGTAAGGTGCCCATGCGGGGTCTTTATGTGTGCTGGGGCTTATACCGGGCTCCTGAATTAGTTGGAAGTCAGAAATTCCAAGTTCCTAATTGGAAATTTTTTGTGGAACATCCCCTCAACTTGGATTTCCCACTCGGAAAGTTGGAGCAGACCAACATCCTCCGAGTTAGCAATCAGAGATGGCTCCCTTTCAAGTACTAACCAGGCCTGACCCTGTTTAGCTTCTGAGATCAGATGAAATCAGGTGTGCTCACGGTGGTATGGCCTTAAGTTTGGTATGGCCATCTTTAAATCAATAATCATGAGTGTGTATGACTACAGCTCCTTAGGTACAGATTTTTACTGCTCTGAAAATGACTGTGTGACATGAGACGTTATTTACTTCAAGCGGCTGGGTGGAGTGTGTGGTTTCCTGGTGATGTAACTTTATGATGCCTTCCAGGAACTCTCATTGCTCTTGTATTTAAAGCCAGCAGTCCTCACCCACCTGTCTTTACACCTTTGTTAAATACGGCATGAATTATGCTCTTCTGCATTTGCTCTGTTTGTTCTGTAAAGCAAAGAAGGTGTACAAATAAAGTCCTTTCCATCTCATTGATTGTCACGGTGTTTGAACCAATTAATTTCTGTCACAAAGAAAAATGGAAAACGACATGACACCTTTCAGACTTGATGGTGATCATGAAGGAACATTTCTGACTTAACAATAGAGCCAGTTTACACAGTTCATGATCTTTACAGCTAAATTATAATATGAAGCCTTTTAAAGAGGAAGGTTTGATTACAGCTCCTCTAAAACTGGGCATGAGTGCATTAAACAAGAGAGTTTCTGTATGATTATTGGATAATAATTTGATATTGATCATAAGAAAGATGCAAAATGCTCCTTATGGTGAAAATTTTTTTATTGTTGTAGACTAATAAGCCTTCAGGGAGTCCTACAGTCATTTTGAACTGCCTGTGTCTCTTTAAAAATGAATTATTGCTGTGTTTTTGTATGTTTTGACTGCGATTAATGGCACTTTCCCCTTTAATTGAGGCACTGGAGACGTTTAGGCGGAGTCGCTTTGTGGTATCAAGTTGCCAGAATTTACACCTGGCAACTACCGGATGTGACGAAAACTTAAAAGCACAACGGTGCCATCAGCTTTGAAAAAAGTAGGCTCACAAAACACACAAAAGTAGCAACATTTTTGTTAAATAAAATGAACAAATGTTTTTTTTTAAACTTTCTAAAACCGAACATGTTAACTTTTCTAAAACAATTTATTCCCCAAGATCCACTAAGAAATGTTTAATTTCTAATTTTAAACTGTTTTCCCCTTATTTCTAAATACTGTACCAATGTGCTTATGGTAACATTTTATTATGTGTTCCTTGAACAGATTACAACATTTTTTAGACTTAATAATTCAAAAACAAAACAAACAGTAAATTATAGAAAAACAAAATGAACTTTATTCAGTCTTTCATTTAATTGTGAAATTTAATTTAAAGGTTATTATTTTATATTTCTGAGAGGAATTACTCCAAACCATTCAATAATTTAAAAATAAACACAATTTAATAAAACAGAATAAGGTAGCGCATACGCATGAGCTTTATTTGGAAGTCTCGGCCTGTTGTCGTAGAGGTCCCAATGGCGGGCTTGACCGCGGCGTCTCTGTTTTCTGGACAGGTGGAAGCTCCGGTTTGACGAGCTGCCGTTGTTCTCAATACAAAGACAGGCGGAGACGAGAAAGACCTGAAATTCCCCCGAATTAAAACATGAACTTATGTCGGAGACTATAAATATTTTACAGAAAATAAAAGCGGTAGTTTGAACGTTTTTTGTGAAAAATGTCCGCAGGAGAAGAGAGAAAATTGAAGAGAAACTGCGCAGTCATAGTTTAATGGGAGCGGTGACCTGAGCAGGTAAGAACATTAGTTTGCGTTGTCGTTAAATTTGTCCTTTATTTTAAATTGAGTCTCGTGAAATACATGTTTAAAACGTTTAATTTAGGTTACATGGTAGAAGTCCTGACATTCGGAGACACTTCCTTTGTGTTTAACCGGGTTTAAATGAGCGCCAGCACTTCCTTAGCACTTCCTTAAATTACCCCTTAAACGTTCCGACTTTGGTTTGTTTTATACAATTTAGATAACCCGTAGTTTTGTTTAACATGTCTGACACTTCCGCGGAGACCATCACTGATAGATGGACGGCTTACAAACTGAGGTCTGAGGACCTCCAGAGGTCGTATGTTTGCTGAAATATCTGTATTGGTGACTGCTGCTCAGCTTTCAGTTTTATTGTTGTCACGATACACAAGTGGATCTCAAAGTAAGGCTTAGGGACCGTCAGGGAGTCTAACCTGGCCGTCTTTGTATAAAAACAAAATATCAGCACCTTCAAAGTACATCCACAAACACTGACGTTACACAGGTCGGATTATAGTACCAGGAACTCGTCCATTTAGACTGATTTAATTTGGACATGGGAGAGTGTACAGATTGTTTTAATATATGTGAATACTGTGACACAGAAATATGATGATTTCTTTGCTTTTTACCAATTTGAACGATACTCTACACATTTAGCCCCTTCTAGTATGGATTATATTACCTAGCACCCGTCAGGGCCATTTAAAACACAGAATGAGACTATTTGAACCTTTTATTCTACCTCTGAATGCTTGGATTCACAGTTTTTCTAGCATGTAGACCTCATGACACCATGTCTAGACCATGTACCACTACCTTGGTACTGTTCTAATCTGGATTATCATTCATTACCAAACCGTTTCAATAAATGTTTTGAAAAACAGTTTGACATGTCTGTAACACAAAACATATGATTAAAGAGAGTTTTTTTCTTTTGGCTAGTGGACCACATTAGACTCGATCTAGACCATCACCTGCTGCATTTAGACTCTTTTAATCTATAGATTATGTAATCAAGAAAACATCCAGGAGAGTTTCAAATTCAGATTCTGTGAGACTTTTGTCCCATCTAGAACCAGATTACTTGATAGCTTTTAACCATTTGGTTGTATTTGACACCAGGTGTAGATCAAAAATAACTACATGTTAGAGAACAAAGAGCATAGAAGTAGTGCGAAGGACTTGGTCTGAGTATAGAGTCCATTTGTTAGTGGTCTGAATGATGAGGGCTACTCAGACCATGGCTGGTGAGGTGAGTGTGCAGGGATGGGGTGCGGTGTTAGCTGACAGTCCGAATGTCTTCGGGGAAGAAGCTTAATATTAAAACATTTCTCTTAATCTTTCAGGTTATTTCTGGGTGTTATTAGCAGATTTCTGGTATAACTTATATTTTAGCAGAAAACTACTAATGATGTCTCACAGTGAAGTAGTTACAAGATGAATTTAGCCTCATTTGGTTACTCTGGCGTTGCTCTAACCCTCATTTCCTTATCTTCCAGATATGCCAGCCGACGACAAGGTTGCCATCCTGACAGATGATGAGGAGGAGCAGAAGAGGAAGTATGTCCTCGCTGAGCCATTCAACACCCTCTCCATGGCCCAGCAAGAGGATGTCACAGCGCCACCAGGACCCGGCTCTGACATGGCACGTGATCAGGTGGCAGCAGTGGCGGCCTCACAGCCAAATTCCATGGACTGCTGCGAGAGGACGTGCCTCCGCATCAACAGCCACCTCCTCATCTCCAAAGTCTTCTATTTCTTTTTCTATGCCGCCTACGGCTCGCTGCACCCCCTGCTGGCCGTGTATTACAAGCAGCTCGGCATGTCAGCCAGCCGCAGCGGGCTACTCGTCGGCATCCGCTACTTCATTGAATTTTGCAGCGCCCCCTTCTGGGGTGTAGTGGCGGACCGTTTCAAGAAAGGAAAAGTTGTGCTGCTGTTTTCCGTTCTGTGCTGGTTAATGTTCAACTGCGGCATCGGGTTTGTCAAACCTGCGGAAATGATATGTGAGGAAAAGGGAGCTTCTCTCTCCACGCCGCTTCCACCCGTGGTAACGGTCCAGCCTCAGGATAATGTAACACAACCAAGCAACTCCACCAACCACACCAGAAGTCGGCGAAACGTACTGGAGCTGCATGTGGAGCATTCCCACGTGCTCCACAGGCTAGAACGTAGTGTGGATGCCAACATAACCACAACATACTCTCCATTTAATTTACTAAACACCACCCAGCTTGTACCAAACACCACTCTGCAGACCACCACCAGTTCTGCTCCAGCACCTGAGAAAAAGTACCAGATCATCTACAACAGGGACCAGGTGGAGTCCATCTTCCTGCTCATCCTGCTTGTCATCATCGTGGGCGAGTTCTTCAGCGCTCCCGCCGTCACCATCGTGGACACGGTGACCCTGCAGTATCTCGGTAAAGCCCGCGACCGCTACGGCCTGCAGAGGATGTGGGGCTCTCTGGGTTGGGGTCTGGCAATGCTGCTGGTGGGCATCTGGATTGACCACACTCATATCACCGTGGCGATCGAAGGCACTGGTTGCGCTGTGCCCGATTTTCGCCTTCACAACTACCAGCTCGCCTTCATTGTCTTTGGTGTTCTGATGGGTGTGGCGTTGATTGTGGCCACTCAGTTTTACTTTGAGAAAGGCGGTGAATACCAGCAGGAAGTTCCAGAGGTGGTGGAGGACTCGGCGAACACTGACAGGGAGTCAGTCACTTCAGAGCAGACCCCCAGCAACCCCAACACCACCCAGGAGTTCCACTACAGTGACCTCCTCAAGCTGTTGTGCAGCGTGCGCTACAGCTCCGTCCTCTTTGTCGCCTGGTTCATGGGCTTTGGCTACGGCTTCGTCTTCAGCTTCCTGTACTGGCACTTGGAGGACCTGGGCGGGACCACCACGCTCTTTGGGGTCTGCTCCGTCCTCAGCCACATCTCAGAGCTCGCTGCGTATTTCACCAGCCACAAGTTCATCGAGCTCGTGGGACACATCAGGTAAGAACAAACACTACAAAGCACCAAAGCTGCTCCTACATATACAGAGATTTTCTCATCACACATCAGTTAGTAGCTGGTAGTTGGTCGCTAAAGAGCATCCCAGGTTCCACTTGCCTGGCTAACCGTAATACCACTCTCTCACTGCCAGTGTATCCTTCACTTTCATTGGTTGTTCTTTAGTCGCTTGCTTAAAAATTTTAAAAGGTTTCGCACACTTTGCGTCGTCAGTGGTTGTGTGGCTTGTTGTCATTGACATTTTCTGTTGTATGTTGCTGCTAGCTGCTTCCTGTGTTGATATTCCTTAACCTCCTAAGACCCAAACTCATTCATTGCATGCTTTAATTTTTCTTTGCTATTTGGACTGATTGGGACCTGATGAATGTAAAAACAAAGAATTAGCAGATCTTTTTTTTTTTTTTTTTTTTAACCTAAAATAAATGAGATCCACATATGAAGACATTCGTTATAATTTTGATAGAACAGTGGCAGTATAATGTCCTCGTAAGTAGATATCAGGCCCTTGTAGGGCGACCGTGGCTCAGGGGGTTGGGAATCGCATCTGTAACCGGAAGGTCGAGGGTTCGATCCCTGGGCTCTCTGTCCTAGTCGTTGTGTCCTTGGGCAAGACACTTTACCCTACCGCCTACTGGTGTTGGCCAGAGGGGCCGATGGCGCGATATGGCAGCCTCGCTTCTGTCAGTCTGCCCCAGGGCAGCTGTGGCTACAAGTGTAGCTGCCTCCACCAGTGTATGAATGTGAGAGTGAATGAATAGTGGTATTGTAAAGCGCTTTGGGTGCCTTGAAAAGCGCTATATAAATCCAATCCATTATTATTATTATTATTATTATTATTATTATTGTAGAGCAAAATTTCGTATTTTGGTCTACACAACCCAAAATGTGATGTCCACATATGTGGCCGCCAGGTCTGAGGAGGTTAAGGCTGCTTGGAGATCACGTTTACTTTGAACTTTTTTCTGACTTTTTTTGTCCCAAATATTTTTGTTTTTGATAATCATGGGAACCAAGACAGAAACATCTGGTAATTAACTAATGAAGTAATGAATTATTTACTAATTATTTATTATCATGCTGTTAGGTTTCACATAGGTGATGTTCCCCCTTAGATACACAGTACTATCTCTCCTTCTGGGCTATTTAAAGAGCCAGTTCATCTGTATTACCATTGCTGGAGCATGAGTTCCTTTTTTCTCGTGTTCAGCTGCCTCTGATCTAACTCTTCCACCATTAAATCAAAGAAATCTGTAAGCTGTTTAAAAAAAAAAATCCATCTTCTCAAATAAATGACCAAAAACAACTTCCATGCTTTCTTTAAAGACTTTTTAAAAGCAAAAACTCTTGATCAACCGTTTAAACTGTGCATTCATAGCATTAATGGTGGGTCCAAACAGTTCAGTCATCGCCTCGCTGTGTTTGGTGTCAGAGCTGTGACAAGTGAGCGCTCCTCTTTGGGACAATGCGGCCATTGGATTCAGGGTCGGACCCTTCGGGTAGCTTCGACATCTGAGAACAAGGGGTTAGATTTCACAGATCCATCTATGCTGTTGACTTTCAAAGAGCTCTCAAGTCTACGCGAGGTGAAGATGGAGCAAATTTAGCTGAAGTACTTAATAAATACACCTGCTGGGCATGCTGATATTTCTGTTCCTCGCGTTAATCAAAAGCCTTGTACGAAGCCACTGATAGTTGGGAGCATGCAGCAATTACTCAGACAAAATGAGGCAGTCGTAGAAGCTAGACAAGGTCTATAATGTAACTGAATAATGAATGATGAGCACCGTTTCTCTGGTGTCAGACGTGGAGTACTTTCTGTTTTACTTTTAGAGGCCTCAAAAGAGAAGAATTTACTCAGCTGTTCACTGGCAAAAAGTGAAAATAGTGGGACTCTAACTGACATGACTGTGACTGTGGTTACCAGACCTCCAGTTAGCAACGAAATTTTTATTCATAATGTTTCAGAGTATTTCTATTCCCCTCAAGGCTGCTGATTATCTTAAACTATACACATTTCACTTTTCCTTTATTTAGAATAACAAAAATACAGCATATAATATAAGTTAGTACATGAGCAAAACACAGGGCATGAAAGTAGTAATGTCTTTGTTACTCCACTGGGAGTTAGAAGATTAAAACTGGGGAATATTTAGACTGATTTAACTTTAAAGTAGAAGCAAAAATATAAATAAACTGAACAGGAATGCTCACTATGAAGAGGTGCTTATGCAAGACATCAGTGGGGATTTTCACACGGACACAGATCAGAAGCTATTTGATTTCAGTGCCTCGGACAGACAAATCGGGCACATCATCGCCATAAATGTCAACAAACAGGGAAAAAAGCAACAATAGGATGAAAAACCATCCAGCTGCTCGCTATCTCAGATTTTAAATGTTGTAACATGTTGTAGAGCAATAGTTTTCAAATTTTTACATCAACATGAGACGAGGAGTAGGAAGCTGATAGAGAGGGAGAGCTTCAGCTGTTTGAGGGTCGGTTTGTCATTTTTCTGATCCAACTCATTCCTCAGATCAGCATCTTCCTCCTTCATACAGTCCTATGACAGATGTCCACGCTTGTAAGCACTTTCCAGAATTGGCGCCTTGGGAACTTCTCCTGGCCACCATACGGCTGCGTTGACGTGACAGACCTTAACTTTCTCTGTGATCACACTGGGGACTTTTAGTTCACTTTCAGAGCTGATGGTAGATTTTTAAGTGACTAGAAGCATTAGCAGAAATGTTTTTGGAAGTCATCTTTGCTTCTTGAAGCTGTGAAGCCTAATACCATTTTCCATGTTTCATTTTAGCCAATCAAAAGCAGCTTGCTGTGTCATTATTTCATTATGTGTAAAATCCAGACACACTGGTTAAATATATTAACAGTAGCTCCTTTCTGTTCATATGCATTGAAACCTTTAGAAATTTTAAAGCAATGAGAACATTTCACCTGTTTTTGAAAGCACCTTTTCACAGAAGACAGTTACAGCCTTTACAGGCCCACAGGCTGTCTGGCTCCTCTTAATCTGCATTAGTGACTCTGTGTGTGTATATTCAGTCTCATGCAAACACGCCCTTCATCTTCCTGTGTTTTCAGGATGTGACTCTGTCTAGTAAGCACACTTCCTGCTTCACTGCAACATCTGAGCAGCAGCTTCCTCTCTGGTGGTCACTTGCTTTCATTTTAACCGATGAGAGCACGTCAATAAGTGACCTCGGGCTGAAGGTTTAATGTGTTGACCCTTTTAAACCGACCTGTTAGCACAGAGAGACCATCTGCTACTGCTCAGATGGGCTCAGTTTAGCACTTAATGGAGTCCATCTTAGAGGACGGACTGAACTCGCAATGTCCAGAATCTAAAGATGTACTTTCTTGTGAGGATTATCGCAGTTTCCCACCACACCAAATCAGATATATTAGCTTTATGTATTTAATGTTGTTATTTTAAAGTTTCTGTTCTGTGCTTTGTTGTAACACTTGAAATATTTTGGAGGTTTAGATCATTATCAGACAACAAGGCAGCCTGAAACATCATCACAACTTAATTCATACTTCTTCATTTGAATACTCTTTAGAATATGAGAGGGAGAGAGAGACAGAAGGAAATGCCGATATTGGGCGCAAAGAGGGTGCTGCAACAAAAACCTCTTTGTAATTGCTTTACTGTGGTTGCCTGTGGTTTGCATGGAAGATGCCGACTTGTCTGCAAAAACTTGCCAACTACTCTCTAAGCGGTCGTGAAGCTGTGAAAAGTATGAAGCGACCCATACAAGGAGTTGTGCCCCTTTGAAATGTTTTTGAAATGCAGACTATTTGGTGTCATCCACGTAACCAAAGCAATCGAAACAAGATTTTTGGTGCAGCGCGCTCTTTATAACTATCCATCCATTCGCGTCCGCTTATCCTTTTCAGGGTTGCGGGGGGCGCTGGAGCCTATCCCAGCTGTCATAGGGCAAGAGGTGGGATACACCCTGGACAGGTCGCCAGTCTGTCGCAGGGCCAACACACAGGGACAGACAACCATTTGCACTCACATTCACTCGCACATTCACACCTATGGGCAATTTGGATTAACCAATTAACCTATCCCCACAAGCTGCATGTCTTTGGACGGTGGGAGGAAGCCGGAGTACCCGGAGAGAACCCACGCAGACACGGGGGAGAACATGCAAACTTTATAACTAGTTTCATAATAAAGGCGGCCAACCAGTTTGGGGATACACATTTTTCCCCATCAGCCAGAGGTTGCCAGGAATGACGGTCCAATCTCTAGGCCTGTGTGGCTGAGGCCTAACAGCTCTCATTCGTTGTTATTATCTTTGGGAAATGCTGACAACACGACCTTTCCCTGTAACGTTGTTTTCAGCGAGAGAGCTTGTCGAGCTCAGTGTTCACACACCCAGAGAACAGAGTGTGTCTGTGTGTTCAGTAACGCTTCAGCTGATGAGCAAACATTAAAATAATCCCGGTGATGAGCGCGATGAACTCGGTGCGTGTTGTGCTGTATTGTTCTCGAAATAGCAGCACAAAGCCTCCTTGATGGGTACGAACAGCACCACAGAAGAAGAACAGAAAGATTAATGAGGCAAACAGTTAAATACAGGCTCGTATAACGAAAATACTCTTTCCTGTTTTTGTAGCAACAAAAAACCACCAGGATAATTCAGTCAGCTGACTTTAAAGACTTTTTACCAGCTTGAGTGTTTGTCAGTTTTTCAGCATTTATGCTCTGTACCATTGGGTCATAACTTCAATATTTATTGCAATAAAGAAACAGTTAAATAGGACAAATTATTTTTGTCTGATACCCAAACTGCAGCAGGTTTGGGTTTAAGAAGAAAGGCAAGCAGATCCAGACGAACTGTTGCTCGTTTTTAGTTACAGGATGAATTTGTTGTCTTTGCTGACGTGGAAAAAAAAGAACAAAGCTTAAACAAAGATTCAAATGATGAACGATTATACTGACTGAAGGTGTGGCCTTATCACAACCAGTTCATCCTAATGGTCATACTTGCAGTAAAACTAAGAATCGGGATGCTTACAGGATAGAAACAGTTGAAGACATTTCTTCAGTCCTTGGAAAGATGTTATTAGGATTTAAAAATGCATATCAGTCTTACCAAACATCACTAAAGCAAAGAAACAACAGCTCAGGATTGAGTTGGTAATTCATTGCAACAAGTCTCATGCTTCTTCTCTTTCCTTCCTTAGAGTGCTGTACATCGGGCTGGCCTGCAACACAGCTCGCTACCTGTACATCTCCTACCTGGAGAACGCCTGGATCGTCCTGCCCATGGAGATCCTTCAAGGTAACCCTTTCTCTGTCTGTGTCTGCAGGGAGTATTAGGACTTCAGGACCCAGAGGACAGGGCAGGCCAGGAAATGGCTTTGTTTGTCCAGCATGGCGCCTTATCAGACAGCGTTTCTCTTCCTACAGTATCGCTGGTTAGCAGAAGGCTGTCAGGGCTGCAGCAGATGACAGAAAGCTGTAAAGTACGAGAAAAAACTGAAGGGAAGGGAAACGGCCCGGATTCTCAACTGCACGATCTGTATTACTCTGTGTTATTTCCTTTATTGTAGCAGCATTGCAACATACAGAGAGGATATTAACAGAGGTGTTGTCAGAAAGCATGTGCAGGGCGCTGCCGGACTTGAAAATAACAGAGAAAAAGTCGTCTTTCTCGGAGTCACAAATCAGTCGAATGCAAACTTGCAAACCATGTGTCACTTTTTTCAGCCCGGATAATGAACGCTGGCTTTTCTGTGCAAGCAGCAGCTTTCTCAAAACAGGGCTGATCAGTTTTAAAAAGGAAAAGACTGATTATATTATGTCATAGGTCCTGTTTATGAGCGGTTTGTTTCCTGTTCGGGAGCTGCTGCGGTTTACAGAACACTTAGCAGTAATCTGTCTTCAGTCTTCACTCAGTCAGTTCAGTTTCAGATTCACAGTTAGTGGAAACTAAAGCCACAGTTTTATGGATTTATGGATTTATGCATACATTTAAAACATTTTTTTTACTAGATATACATTTTGTATTTTTATTTAAGTTTTTTTCCATTTTTTATTTGTATTTTTGTAAATATAATTATTTAAATGGTATTTTTTATTTTATGTTTTTATGTTTTTTAATTTCTGTTTTTAATAGTTTTAATATTGAATAGAATATATATAATATTTTTATTATATATTAATTTGATATTTTTTTTATATTTATATTCCCATCACACCATATGAATTGGCATCCCAGATTATTAATAGAGATGGACCGATCCGATATTACTATCGGTATCGGTCCGATACTGACCTAAATTACTGGATCGGATATCGGAGAAAAATAAAAAATGTAATCCGATCCATTAAATATCACGAAAGCACCTCACAAAACTTGCAATACGCCGTAACTCACCTCAGAACGTTAGCACGTCGGAGCAGTATGCATCACGTGATAGAGCGGCTGTGGCATGCGGGACCTGTCGGTGGTCTGGATAGCATTTGGAGCTTCGCTAGCAACCCGGCATTTCATCTCCGACAAAGTTATCCCGAGAGAAGTAAAGCAAGTGTGTAAGTCCATCTCTGAATGTTTGTAAAGCATTCCTGCGTTAAGCTTAACAAACGATATATGGAGCGACTGCCTCTTCTTGCTGCTACTTCAATCATGAAACTGCTTAACGATCAGCTGATCGGCTTTTCTGTCGCGAGTCCGTGTCTCTAGTTTGCTTTTGGCCCACTTTGCACCAGAAAGAGGAAACCAGCGGCTGAACAACAGAAGCACGTTTAAGCTTGATCAGCTGTTGTTAGAATGTATTTAATATTACTTTCTACTCGAGGATCTTTTTCTACGTAGCTGACGGCTGGTAACTGTGCAGGGGTGGATCTAGCAAAGTTTAGCCAGGGGGGCCGATAGGGCATTAACAGGGAAAAGGGGGCACAAAGACATACTTTTCTTTCTTATTCTCATTTAAAATGTCTAGCTTTTAATAAATAATTATCTGACACCCAAAGTTTTAATTTGATGTAAAATGAATAGAAGTCAATTACTGTATATAGTGACTATTAAGTCTAATATATATACCCTAGTAAGCTATAGTACTTTTTCCTTTGGGAAGGTACCATCTGTGCAGTCTGCAATTTTGTTGAAGAAAGATGTTGAATCTATTTAATATTTCTGTGCATTTTTTTCACACTGCATCAAATTAAGGTTGATTACGTCGATTAAGCATCATGAGGTGGAGCGTGAGGGGTGGTTCCCTATTTTTATTTATTATTTTTGTTGTTGCTGGGAGTTGGAACCCTATTAGTTAGGTTGCTTAATATATATGCTAAGTACTCTTTAAAATACCAGAATAGGGAGGACGGTGTAGGTTTAAGTTTATTAGATTGATCAGTATTGCTGAACTATGAAATATTTTTTTTTGCATACAGGTATAACAGAATAGCTTTAGTGTAGTTGTTGTTTTAAACTTGAGTATGAACTTATACAAATGCAGCAAGATATTTAAAAAACAGTTTTGTTGATTAAAAACACTATATCGGATTCATATCGGGTATCGGCAGATATCCAAATTTATGATATCGGTATCGGACATAAAGTGGGTATCGTGCCATCTCTAATTATTAACACTGTATTTCTAATTTATCTTTGACTTTATTTAAGCAGTGCAAAGTAAGGTGAGAAATGCAGTGTATACAATAAAACTACAGTGAAGACTTGAGCAGTGAACAGCTGCTCTCTGTGGCTCACTGGTTTGCATGAGACATCCGCCCTGAGAAAACACCTCTGCCTCGCAGAATAAACACGTGAAAGCTGCATCGGGGCTTCAGTTCTGAGTGCTCCACCTGTTGGTCCAGCGTTACGCTGAGTATGACACAATTTCAAAAAGTCTAAAAGTATATTTAGCATTTGCAACACATGTGGTGTAAAAAACAGGGAGGGCTGAGGCAGCCTGCTTTTTACCTCGATGCGATTAGCTGGTCTGCAGAGAGGAAAGCTGAGGTGAAGAAATAAAACTGTCACTGCAGGTTAATTAAACATATATGTCAGCATTTTATTTATTCTCCAGAGTCCACAAATGTTGACACTTGGGCCAGTGGAGAAGTAAGGACAAATAATTTAAACTTGTGATATTTGATCTTGCAATGCATGAAAAGCCAAATTTTCATAGACTTTTTTTAATTCCACAGTAGAGCAATTCACTTACTCAAGTGCCAGGAAGAAAAAGGTGAATTAGAAATAGATTTAGATAATAGATAACAATAGAAAAATAAATAAGAAAGAATGCAGCAGTCAATATCTGCAGGTTATTGACTCTTGATTGGAGTTTGGAGGCAGCACAGAGAGCCAGTCTTTGTCTAAGAGGAGGCTTTAATGTGTGGACATTAATGCTGCGAGGTACACAAATGCATTA